CCCCGACCATTCTCCGCTTGCTCCCCCTGTACCTACCTGCCCGATTGTTATTGACCTGGCTTGCCTGATGACGCTTGCATTGTATGTATTGTTATCTGTGGGTGATTTGGTTTGGTTCGTTTGCACTGTGTTATGTTTTAGTATTGCACTGCATTTATGTTTGTATTGTTAGTGTTAATAAATTATATTGTTTATAACATATCTGAAGTCTGCGTTTCCCTGCGTCAGTCACATACCTCTGGTCATACCCTGGAGCCCTGACACACACAATTATTGTAGCGCCTACGTATTTAATTGTTCAAGTGTATTTCACTTTTTAGGGGAAGCTGCTAACCTCTATTTTGCCTGGCTCAATGCGGGCAACACTTTAGTCATTTGGGCGCCACAATATTCCAATTACTTATACTGTATCAATTAGCTGTGAAACCTTAGCTTCAATCCACACCACACGTGTGAATCAGTTCTCACTTTTAAGTGAAGGTCTGCTTTAAAGAAGCTGTGTGTACAGATATATGCAGGCTGCCACTGCCTGATTTGCAGATATGCAGACTTCAGGGCTGTTTTTAATGACCCTAGCGACATAATTAGTGAGTCCTAGATCTAAAACAAGCATGCAGATCAAGAGTTCAGGTTTTACAGACTTTCTGGCTAAATGCTTGTTCTGGATAAGTGACTTATTAGGGTGAAAAGCCAGGATTAGGACAACTGCCTTGGAGCCTGCTTTTTAAAAGCCAAGTCACAAATGGCAATCTCTATATTTCTGTCATCACAAGATAACTTTAAACAAAATAGATTTCCACTGTATTTCTATATAAGCTTTAAGTGACATATACAGTCATTATATTTTCCTTAATATTTTCTTCTCATTGCTGAATACATTGCAAAGCCCTATTGAGAGCTGAGCTAACAGCTGTGTCATTACATGTTAAGAGGTCTTACACCCAGGCATTTTTTACATGGTGCTTTTCAACACTGTATTTGGCTCGTGACCAACACAATGTAGCTGTTAAATGAAAATACAAAGAAAAAAGTGAGGATTGCACCTCCTTTACACATGGGGAGGATGCAACAGATGCTGAAAGAAAATGTACACTATTTTTACCATTTACTGTCTTCAGAATCTGATTACTCCCTTGGAGCAAGAGCTCGAAGAACCATGATTGGCCAGTAACTACCCTTGATCTTCAGACTACAGCTTCATGTACACGAGCAGCTCCTAAACTCAAGTTTAGGCAACTTGAGTTTAGGAGCTTTTGGCATTTGTTTGCCAAAGCTCCTAAACTCAACTCCATAAAAGCCTATGTATCCATGTGCACATAGGCTTTTAGCAGAGTTTTGGAGTTGCTGCGTTGAGGGGAGGTTAAATTTCCCTCTCCTCAAAGTGGAAATGGCGCGTTCAGGATAGCCACGTTTTGACCACTGACCGTGGGAAAAGGAAAAAAACGCAGCAACCGCAATTTGCGGTTTTCTGCGGCCGGCGGTCAGGGTAAGATCGTGTACATGAAGCCTTTATTCTTATTTTACAATAAAGATAGGATAGCATAGAATTAGGAGTAAAATGAAGTTTTAGTTTCAGCCTGATGTCAAAAGAGCAAGTTAAAAATAATAACATAGTAGGTTTAATAGTTTTGGGAGTGCACTTACTGTACCTTCAAAGTAAACAAATAAATATAATGGAGCAGATGCGCGTGACAACCAGTCAACTTCTATCTTTAGTTTGTTCAGATAAGCTTTGAAAATGAAAGATAGAAGCTGATTGGTTGTCATGCATAGCCGCTCTATTCTGGCTGCTCAGGGTTTGATAAATTCCCCTTAATGTGTACAGTGCCCCCCGAGCCTGGAGGACTGACTGCCTGACCATAGAGGCATAGTTGCCAACTTCATAGCTGTCGATTCATCCAGGAAACTTGGGAGACAATCAGCTTGAAGATCTTCTCCCAAGGTTCCTAGGATTTGAAGCAAATCTTCTGAGTTTTAGTTCTTGTATATGCATGTTGCACTGGGGAAAAGGTGACGTCAGCAGAGAGAGGGGGAAGTGAGTGAAGCCAAACACCAAGTGGGCAGAGCACCCAGAAACTTCAAGTTCAGCCTCATCTTTCTGCAAAGGTGATGGGGCAACAGAAACCGGTGATTAGCAAGGACGGAAGAAGCCATGGCGGAGTATGCAGTGGCAGAGCTATTGCATAGCAGAGGGGGTGCTTACTGGCAGAAGGTTTCTGGGGTCTTGGGGTTCATTGTCAGGGGTGCTGGGAGGTTCAGAATCAGGAGTGCAGGGCAGTGCAGTGGCAGAGGTGCTGGGTGACAGGAAGATTCAAGGTCAGGGTGCAGAGTGACATAGGTACTGTGTTCTTCATAGGGCCAAATGCAAAAGCTGTCTACTTGTAAGCTTGCAGGGAAGCTTCTCTGACTGAGTGCCATCCAATATGGTGTAGGCTCCTGGAATGTATCTTCCACTGATCTAAGGTAAGAACCAGGGGTGGACTGACAACTCTTGGGCCCCCGGGCAATAGGGGATAATGGGGCCTTGCCCACACTCAAAAAAGCCTATAAAAAAGGTACCAGGGGTATTTCCTGGGGCCCCCTACTGACCCCGGGCCCTCGGGCAGTGCTCGAGTGCTCAAATGGTCAGTCCGCCCCTGGTAAGAACAAGGGGGTTTAGTTAGCATGGGTGGGGGGGGGGAGTTCAATAACTTTAAGTAACTTGAAAGTATAGTTAGCCTTTAGGCCCTCTTCAGACCTATGTGTTATGGTAATGTTCCTCTTTACTGTGTATGTAGCCTCCCAAATCCACAGATACAATAGGTGTCAATAGATCTGCACTGCAAGGCACAACATTGCACATGCAGGTCTGTTTTTTTTCTTTCATTGTATTGGCAATCCATTCCTGATTAACTAGCTGTCTTAATTCAACACGTTAACAATAAAAATACCACACATTATCCTGTATGTAGTAACACACTGCAAAGGTATGACATAGTGTGAAGCATATTTAATCCCTCTTTTGGGGACGGTTATGAGAAATGGCCCACCCAAAACAGAATATTGTGCTAAACCTGTATGTAACTAAGAGAACCAGAACCTTTACTAAGTGAAAGTGTAGGTTTGATAAAGTTGGCAGCACCTGCACCCAGGACAGGGCCTCTGTTGACTGGATTGCCTTCTTGGGAAATGATTCAGTAATCTAAATGAGGTTATTGGGAGTAGAAGAATGACTGTAGACAGCATAAACCATTACCCATAGGCACATGGATGCACACCAGTAAATTAATAATACAAGCTTTAAATCAGAAAAGATTATTAACAGTACATACAACCAATTTACAAACAGGTATTATCAGCAAAGGGCCCAATCGGAGTCCTGGTGACATTTGTAACTTATACCCGGGTATATACAGTATACTTATTAGTAGAGATACCTCCAGATGAATGTTGCAGCAAAGTGCAGTTGCAGGATCTCCTGAGGATGATGTGGCCTCTGCCTTTTGTGTTGGAGACCTAATGACAAGCTCAGCAGTTAAAGGGGTAACTGTTACCCAACCAGCCTGGAATGGGACTTATCAGCAAGAACTGTGGTGTGGCACTGAAACTCAGTCTACCTATCAAGTCTGCTCTTTAATCCCTCACTAGCAGTTTTTCAAACAAGAGTGGTATACAAACACTATTTTAATAAACAGGTTCACTTTCTAATACACAACAAGGTGACCACTACATGCATACAGTAGCACAGACCTAGCTGTCCAGCGCTGTGCATGTGAAATAATAGACATGGCAGAGATACTCTCTCTGTCACAAGGATGCAGTTAAACTATTAGATCATAGAAATACTTGCATAATAGTCTCTTCTTGTCTGGGTGAACATTCTATGGACAGGACATATGACTTGGTTCTCTCTTGGCCTACTTCCTGGAAACTCCCCTTTATAACGATATCGAAGTCTTCCAATCTGGGGTTTTTGGTTCATCTAGCAAGGAAAGAGGCACCGTCACTTACAATTACAAACAATAGAGGGCAGCAGATCCCTACAGTAACATTGGCATTTGAATGTAGACCAGTACCATCCACAGCAGCCATACTCTGTAAGTTCTTCGAGAGTAGGGACTGATGTGAATGTACAATATGTAAAGTGCTGCGTAAATTGTTGTTGCTATATAAATGCCTACTGTATAATATAGATAATCCAAAGCAGTCCCTGCAGCATGTGGGTTTGTGATGCAATGAGACAAGGCCATATAATTTATGGTTCCAGTGTTTTACATCACCTCTCTATCCCCACACATGGGCACTGTCATCCCCAGCCTGGTAACTCACACAACTCAACTTACATCCACCTTCTACCGTGCCTGCAACCCCTGTTGGGAATACAACAGCATGTACTATATAGTATTGTGTGTTAATATCACTTGACCAGTAGATGGCACTGTACACTAAGGTTATTAGTTGTGCATATGTGTAAAACTTGTTGGTTATCTCTCTTCTCTCTCATCTCAAAGGAAGATGTCTGCTGTTATCACTGTCTGCTGAAATGTGCTTTGTATGTTTGCAACTTAAGCCACACAAGTAAAGTCACAGTTCTGCCTCATCACTACCAGTGTCTTCTCTAACACATAACCAACAACCCCCCCCCCCCCCCTACACACACACACACACACACTTTCTTTACCACTTTTTCCCCACTATCTTTTGTCACCACCGTGTGTGCACCCTCTTTCTCATAACCATACCTGAATCCCCCCCAATGTGCACGCTAACCACGTTACTTGACTCCCATCCTCCTGTTCTACATGCTCCTACTTCACTTGCCACTGCACAGACACCTACCCCTACTCTTGCAGCCACTGTACCAATGCAAACATCTGTGCTTGCTAACACTGCAGTTGTGCGCCTTTCAGTAATCAGCTTGTTTAGTGAATGGTCACACGTTTGCTAGTGAAAAAGTAAGGTAAAGACTTGCTTTCATTTTTTTATATCATGCATTTTTTTTCCTTCCTTCCTTACAGCAGAGAAAAGGACTCCCTTTTGGTACTGCATCTTCCTATCTGAACCTGGAGAAACTAGGTGAAGGCTCCTATGCAACAGTGTACAAAGGAATAAGCAGGTTAGCTGTTTTTGTCACTAAAACTGAGACTTCCACCTGAGGGTCTGAATTGCTTTGTTTTGTACATTCAGAGTAGGCTGCTGTTACCATGCTTAATGAAAAAAAAAAAAAACATTTGTGGAAGAACTTGATCCAGTAAATAGGCCAATACTTACACTGCTTACCTCAATTACCATGTTGTAGCTACCGTTTAGAACCACAGCTACTACTGTGTTTAACCTCTCTATAGCAAGAGATGAACTTTAGAACGAACATACCTTCCAAGAATGAGCTGTGGGCATAGTGAACACAGCCCCTGTACATGGGACATGGCAGGAGTAGGGTCTAAATGTTTGCCAGTCCCACACAATTCGGGACTGTTGGCAAAAAAGAGGAGTCGAGCAAAATATGAGTAATTCAGATATTTTCTTTATAATATGTGAAAAGGAAAGGGGGTGCAGGAAAGTTCTATAAATTTGTGCAAGACATTAGGAAGTAGAGCTAAGATGAAACATAACTTTCCTATGTACCTCCCCCACAAATGTATTACCTATCTCTAACACTGCATCACCATACCACTTAACCTGTTCCCACACTTAATCTTAACATTTAACCTGTTACCTAAAATTAACACTTAACGTTCCCTTAACTAAACTGAAACATCTTAAATACTTAAACCACCATAACAGAACACAGTGCAATATGCAGAATCGGATCGCATAGGTGTGAATACCCATGCGATCCAATTCTAGTGCAGACTAAAAAAGGGTCCTGCACGTTTTGGGTGCGGTGCGATTAGAGCCATACAAAATGTATGGCTCAAATCGCAACGCACACAAATTTGATTTGCTCAGGGATGCGGTACGGTTCCTGTGTGAATCACATGCGACTTACTGCACCACATATATGTGAACCCAGTGGAACTTTAATCAGAGCTATGCAGCACTACCCCCTTAAGAGTCGCTAGAAGATTTGGGTCCCTCTATAGTCCTGCACAGCCTGGCATCAAGCATTTCCACAACAGCTTGCATCCAGAGTCAGAAATCAGTTCTTGAGCTTTGGTTTTGTTGCTTTATTGAAGTATTTGAACTGAGATAGGGTTAGGGGTGCACAGGATACCCAAGAGTACTGACAAATCAAGGATAACTGCTGGAACTATTTACAAGCCTTCTCTGCAGCACAGTCTCTGTTGGAGAGCTAGCGTCTCCTTAGTGTACCACCGCAGACCCTAGATGAACTTCTCCTCTTCACCCAGCAATCTGGGGGTGTCCCTGAACAGGGGATCTGGTTCCTGCCATTTTAAGAGGTAAGCAGTCACTTATCCTTCCCCTATCCGCCCAGGGGTTGTAGGTGTACTCACTCAGATCCTCTCCTGCACCACCTGTGTGTTGGTGGCTGCTACCAGGCCTATCAGCTGGGCAGCTCAATCCCTGCCATGCATTTAGTACTCTCTCAGGGGGCCAGTGAGTTCCAAGCTTTCCTCCTCCCCAGTTCCAGGCCTGCAGGTAGGCCCCATCGCATTCGGTCTCCTTGCAGCCTCCTTTCTTCAGCCTCACATCTTCCACCTGAACTCTTCTGCCAACTCTCCTACACTCCTGCTACTGAGCAGGCTCCAACACTTAAGTGTGTCCAGCCCCTGCAACTTCTTGTTGGGGATTGGCTTGGACCCCTCAAGAGTGCAGCCAGCCACTCCTCAGATCCACCCACTGTCTCTAGAACCTTCCTCCAAAAGCCCTAGAACAGATGGAAATTCCAGAGGGGCAGCCCTGACCACAATTTGACACCTCTCTGGCTATTACATCTGGGCTGCTCAGTACCATTGAAGTCTAGCTCCCCCTAGCTAAACTAGGAGGGTGCTACAATCACTCCCCACTAAAAAACAGCAATATCCTCATTGGCTGGTGTCAAAAAACAAAAATGGCTCCTGAGCAGAGGAGCAGGGCATCTTGTACAAAAAAATTGGGAGGGGAAAATGGTACATAAACTGGGAAGGGGAAAAGAGAATATTTACATGTTTACAAATTGCTAGGTAGAAAAATAAAGATTCTTGCATATATACATATTTGCACAAATAAAAAAAAAAATTAAAGAAACTAAGTGGTTTTCTTTGCAAAAATGTACCCAGACCAGCATATCTGGAGTCAACACAGTCCGGCAAAGTCCATAATGTGCAGGACACAATGGATTACTAGACTGGGATCCCGTGTCAGCCTTAACTACTACCTGGTCCCTGTAAATAGCCCGTCCTTTGCTCCACTCCTGCTTAACATCTTGAAAGCAGTCTCAAGCTTACTCCGGCTTTCTGATTCTGGCCCTCCGGTCTTTCAGTACACAGTCCCATTAGCAAGTCCACACTGTATGTGCAGGGAATCAGGTCACTAGGCAGCAACTGGTTAAGTGGCTGTCCACAGTGCCCGCACCTGACCCAGGCTCCAATCAGGGCAGTTGGCTTCCTGCATTTAGGACAGCTTAGGCAAAGTCTCTCTATCCCTCCGACCAGCCCTAGGCCTAAACATCCGCGATGCCCATGTCAATCAGGGTGATCTCCAGAATATAAACTCTAGGGTACTGCGATAATGCGCCCTCCATCTTGCTGCACTCATGCTCTCTCTCTATGTGGTGGGTGTAGAGGGCATTTCTTAGGGCAAGCTTTTTTTTATGGCCAGGCCCCTTCTCATGTCTTCTTGGCGCCAGCCTGTCTGCCGAGCAGGAATCTCCCCTTGTTAGCAGTGAGCCCTGATGTGCCAGGCGAAAATGAACAAACTGATTTTTCAGGAACTGTAGTAATGGTAGTTCGCAGCAGTTACCACAAACATCATCGGGGCATGAAGCCCCCCCCCTGCTGAATATATATGCAGAAATAAAGTCTCTGGGCCCATCAGTACAGTGCTGTTGGGCATTTGGAATCCACTGAATTGCAGGCCTTTCTCCGGGAAACGACCATCACAATCACGTAGGATTTACTGATTGTAGCAGGCCATATTGAGCTTGACAGAACATAGTCTGTTAATGTAGCCTCCTGTTGAGCAGCGGAGAGATTTGTGAGCACTCATAGGCCGCTCCTGTTGCTCCGGAAGATGGCAAGCATGACATAAATGGCAGGCACTTTACTGATCACAGCAGGAACATTTGAAGCATAATCTTTTATTGGGACCACCTGTTGAGCAGTGCAAAGACATCTGCAACTTGAAGGACCGTCCTAGTTGCTGTCAATGGAGGTAGTAACAGCAAAGCACATGATTCTGACTTTTTGCAGGTTAATCAAAGCATGGTCCATTTACCAGCCACCTGTGGAGCAGCAGGGAGATCTCTAGGTAAGCCTGGTGTGGTGGCCAAGGGTGACAACAATAGCATCAACTCCTTCTTGGCTCATCGGTTGCTAGGGGTGATGGCAGGCAGGTTGCTATATTATTATTATACAGTATTTATATAGCGCCAACAGTTCGTTCAGCGCTGTACATTACATTGGGGGACAATACATGAGACAGTACAATTACAATACAGTGCGATACGCGAGGGGTTCGAGGGCCCTGCTCCTTGGAGCTTACAATCTAGGAGGGAGGAGATAGTGGTACAGGAGGAAAACCTGTGGGGGATGCAGTGGTAGGAGGAGTGGAGGAGATCTGCAGTTAGCTGAGGGTGGGGTAGGCTTCCCTGAAGAGGTGGGTTTTTAGGGTGCTCCTAAAGGAGAGCAGAGTGGGTGATAGTCTGATGGATTGGGGTAGGGAGTTCCAGAGGATGGGTGATGCCCTGGAGAAGTCCTGGAGGTGGGCATGGGAGGAGGAGATAAGGGAACTAGAGAGAAGGAGGTCTTGTGAAGAGCAGAGAGTGCGTTTTGGGTGGTATTTGGATATTAGGTCAGTGATGTAGTTTGGGGCAGAATTATGGACAGCTTTGTATGTCAGTGTTAGCAGTTTGAATTTGATCCGTTGGGCAATCGGAAGCCAGTGGAGGGATTGGCAGAGGGGGGTGGTGGAAACGGAGCGTTTGGTAAGGTGGATGAGTCTGGCCGCCATATTCAGGATCGACTGAAGTGGGGGTAACCTGTTGTGAGGCAGACCAGTAAGGAGGGAGTTGCAGTAATCGAGTCGTGATATGATGATGAGGGAGTGGATGAGCTGCTTAGTAGTTTCTGGGGTTAGGAATGGGCGTATTTTGGCGATGTTGTGGAGGTGGAGTCTGCATGAGTTTGTTAGCGATTGGACTTGGGGCTGGAAGGACAGATTGGAGTCTAGTATGACACCAAGTACTCTGGGGTGGGCTTGATGGTGGCATGGTTGGACGTGATGGAGAAATCAGTGGGGGGGGGGGGGTGCGTAGGAGCTCGGTTTTGGAGAGGTTCAGTTTAAGGAAGTGGAGCGACATTCAATCTGATATGTCGTTCAGTAGGCTGGTGATTCGGGCGGAGACTGAAGGGGTGAGGCGAGGGGTCGAGAGATAGATTTGCGTGTTGTCGGCATAGAGGTGGTAGTTGAAGCCGTGAGAGTGTATCAGTTGGCCAAGGGAGGAGGTGTAGATGGAGAAGAGAAGGGGCCCGAGGACACAGCCTTGAGGGACCCCAACAGAGAGGGGGAGTGGGGGGGGGGTAATGTTATAGGTAATGCTGAAGGAGTGTTGTGATAGGTAGGATGAGAGCCAGGAGAGAGCGGAGTCTCTGAGGCCAAGGGAGTGTAGTTTCTTCAGGAGGAGGGGGTGGTCGACTGTGTCGAACGCCGCAGAGAGGTTGAGGAGTAGGAGCACTGAGTAGTGGCCATTAGCTTTGGCGGTTAGCAGGTCGTTTGTGAGTTTGAGTAAGGCGGTTTTGGTGGAGTGTAGGGGACGGAAGCCGGACTGTAGGGGGTCGAGGAGGTTGTTGTCGTTGAGGTGGGAGCTTAGGCGAGTATAGACTAAGCCAGCAATGGGCAAACTATAGCCCGCGGGCCATATACGGCCCGGCGGACCTTTTAATCCGGCCCGCGGAGCATGATACAAAAAAAAACAGCCAGGGCAGCGCGCTCAAATGCAATGATTGGCCAGTCTCG